TTGTTAGGTAACTTGACCAGGGTCGTTCAGGCAAGTGGCAGAGCTGAGCAGTGGATCCTGATACCCGGCCCCAGAAGCTGTGTTCTTAACCCTGCATTATACTGCCTCTGCTCGTGTGAGCAGCATTGGTTTCCCAGCAGAATCATCTGTGGCTGCGCTGACAGCAGGATCGGGAGGGAAATGTTAATGATACTTGGGGCTGATCTCACACCTTCCGAGAGTGACCTGCAAATGAATGAGATCTCACAGTAATAAAGGGCTAGACAACATCCTAACATTAGTATAAAAGAGTTATAATTTAGATCCTCTCTCCCCCTGGGGTTGCCATTGAGTCCCTGATTTGGTATGATAATAAGCAGTAGCAAATTTTTTCAGAGATTTTATAGGAAGTTATTCTAACATCTACTTTGAGCAAGCCCTCCTTATAAACAGTTGAAAAATAGGTGGAACTTCATCCATTTGGTTTAGTTTTCTCCTTCTAGTAATGCTGCTTGGCATCTTTCTCTTTCCTTTATGAGAACATTTTAATTTTCATCTGCTGGTTTTAATTTAACTTGTCATATTTCTACTTTTTTGTGTGTGCATATGTCTAGAGGCCTTTGGGAAAAGGACACATTTTTAAATAAGTCACAACAATAAAAACCAGAAAGGTCAACTTAAGTCAATTAGTGACGTTTTAAGCAAACTTAGTAGAAGACAAATTCCCTTCCAACCTCCAAACTGTTCTCTCGAAGACTGCTCTCCCTGGAAAGAGGCAAGGGTGTTCTCTCACAGAGCAAATTAAAGTGATCAAGGTCATGAACATGGACCACTTAATGCCATGGTAGTTAGGAGGCCTTTTATGTAAGTCACACAGGTGAAAAAATACACTGATATCATAGGAGGCATATGGCATTTTATAGGGGAACTGAATAACTTGATCCTGTGTGCACAGATGGACTCTGCTAAGGTTGAACTTTACTAATTCAGTGGCCCCAGACAAGCCATGGCATCTCTTGCTTTCCAGATCTGGGTGAGCAGGGTTACAACCACATATTTTTTGAAAAGTTGTGTCATGAATAGTTCATTTCATTCTAGGCTTGTCACATGACTATATTCTTCTTTGAGGAAAGGCATCTCATTACAGCTCCCCACTTTTTATTCCTCCTTCCATTATTCTCTTTTTTAAAATTTAATTTGTATTGTATTTTCCCATTATCTTTTAGTCCCATTATACCCCACTCCCCTCAGTGATCACCACACTGTTGTCCGTGTCCATGAGTCCTTTTTCCTTTTTGCTCAATCTCTCCACCCTCTAACCTTCCCCTCAATTAGCTGTCATTTGCTCTCTGTCTATGAGTCTGTCCCCATTTTCCTTGTTAGTTCAGTTTGTTCATTAGATTCTACTTATGACAGAAATCATATGGCGTTTTTCTTTCTCTGACACTTAGCATAATGTTCTCCAGGTCCATCCATACTGTTGCAAATGGTAAAATTTTCTTCTTTTTTATGGCCAAGTAGTATGCTGGTGTGTAAATGTCCCATAGTTGTTTCATCCATTCATCTGCTGACAGACACTTGGGCTGCTTCTATATCTTGGCAATTGTAAATGATGTTTTAATGAACATAGAGGTGCTTAGGTTCTTTTCAATTAGTGTTTTCAGGCCCTTTATGTAAATTTCCAGAAGAGGGATCACTGGGTCAAAAGGCAGATCCATTTTTAACTTTTTGAGGTATCTCCATACTATTTTTCACACTGGCTGTACCAGTCTGCATTCCCACCACCAGTGCAAAATGGTTCCCCTTTTTCCACATCCTTGCCAGCGCTTGCTTGTTGATTTATTGATGATAGCTATACTGACAAGTGTGAGATAATATCTCATTGCGGTTTTAATTTGCATTTCTCTGATGATTAGTGACACTGAGCATCTTTTCATATGTCTATTGGACTCTTTGAAGAAGTGTTTATTCATTTCCTTTGGTCATTTTTTAATTGGGTTGTTCAATTTTTTTAGTGTTGAGTTTTGTAAGTACTTTGTAAATTTTGGATATTAACCCCTGATCAGATGTATCTGTGAATATGTTCTCTCATTCTGTGGGTTGTCTTTTTTATTTCGTTGATGTTTTTCCTTTGCTGTGCAAAAACTTTTTAGTTTGATGTAGCTCAATTTGTTTATTTTTTTCTTTTGTTTCCTTTGCTGGGGGATCCCATTAAAATATTGCTACAAGCACTGTCCAATATTTTGCTATGTTTTCTTCTAGGATTTTATTATTTAGGGTCTAAAATTTAAGTCTTTGATCCATTTTGAATTTGTTCTTGTGTTTGGTATAAGAAGGTGGTGTAGTTTCATTTTTCTTCATGTATATGTCCAGTTTTCCCAACACCACTTATTCCATAAACTACTTTTAGCCCATTGTATATGCTTGTTTCCTCCATTAAATATTAATTGACTTTAAAGGTGTGGGCTTATTTCTGGGCTCTCTATTCTGTTTCAGTGGTCTATGTATCTGTTTTCATGAAAGTACCATGCTGTTTTGATTACTATGGCCTTGTAATATAGTTTTATATTAGGTAGCATGATTCCTTCAACTTTGTTCTTCCTCAGGATCACAGTTGCTTAGTGGGGTATTTTGTGGTTCCACATAAATTTTTGAAGTATTTGTTCTATTTTGGTGAAATATGTCATTGGAATCTTGATGGGAATTGCATTGAATCTATAGATTGCTTTGGGTATATGGACATTTTAATAATGTTAATTCTTTCTATCCATGAACATGGTATGTGCTTCCACTTATTTGTTTCTTCTTCAGTGTCATAATTTTCCAAGTACAGAATTTTCTTTCTCTTTACATCTTTGGTTAGACTTATTCATAGGTATTTTATTCTTAAAAAAAAAGATTTTATTCACTTCTTTTTAGAGAGAGGGGTAGGGAGGGAGAAAGAGAGGGAGAGAAACCTCAATGTGTGGATGCCTCTCATGTGGCCCTCCACTGGTGACCTGGCCTGCAAACCAGGTATGTGCCCTGACTGAGAGTTGAACCAGCAACCTGTTGGTTCACAGCCTATGCTCAATCCACCGAGCCACACCAGCCAGGGCGGTATTTTACTCTTTTTGAAGCAAATGTGAATGGGATTGTTTTCTTGATTTCTCTTTCTGTTAGTTCATTATTCACATACAAAAATACAACTGATTTCTGGATATTAATTTTGTATCCTACTATTTTGCTGAATCCATTTATTAGTTCTAGTAGATTCTTGGTGAAATCTTTGGGGTTCTCTATGTACAGAATCATGTCACCTGTGAATAAAGACAGTTTTACTACTTCCCACTAATTTGGATGCCTTTTATTTTTTCTTCTTTTCTGTTTGCTGTGTCTAGGACTCCCAGTAGTATGTTGAATAAGAGAGGCGAAAGTGGACATCCCTGTCTCATTCCTTAAATGGAACACTTGTAGTTTTTGCCTGTTGTGTGTGATGCTGGCAATGGGTTTGTCATATATGGCTTTTGTTATGTTTAGGTATGTTCCCTCTAACTCCACTTTGCTGAGAGTTTTTATCATAAATGGGTGCTGAATTGTATTGTATGAAATCCATGGTTTTGAAATTAGGATAATGGTGGCTTTGTAAAATGAGTTTGGGAGCCTTCTCTCCTCTTAAATTTTATGAAACAGTTTGAGAAGCAGAGGTGTTAGTTCTTCTCAGAATGTTTGGTAAAATTCACCTGTGAAGCCATCTGGTCCAGGGTTTTTGTTTGTTGGGAGTTTTTTTTTTTTATTACTGCTTCAATTTCATTAAGTGTAATCTGTCTATTCAGATTTTCTGATTCTTTCTCATTTAGTTTTGGAAGATTGTATGTTTTAGGAATTTATCCATTTCATTAGGTTGTCCAGTTTGTTGGCATATAGTTGTTTATAATATTGTCTTACAATCCTTGCTATTTCTTTGATGTCAGTTGTTATTTCTCCTCTTTCATTTCTGACCACATTTATTTGGGTTCTTTTCTCTTTTTTTCTTGAGGAGTCTGGGTAAAGATTTGTCAACCTTGTTTATCTGTTTGAAGAACAAGCTCTTGGATTCATTGATCTTTTGTATTTTTTTAGACTATATTTTATTTATTTCTGCTCTGATCTTTATTTCCTTCCTTCTACTTACTTTGGGCTTTGTTGTTCTTTTTCAAGTTTTTTAAGTGTGAAGTTACATTGTTTATTTGAGCTTTTTCTTTTTTTTGAGATAGGACTGTAATGCTATAAATTTCACACTTACGATTATTTTCCCTGTGTCCCACAGCTTTTGGATTGTTGTGTCCTCATTTTCATTAGTTGCAAGGCATCTTTTGATTTCTTCCTTATCTTGTTGTTGACCCATTTATTGTTTAATGACATTATTTAGCTTCCACGTCTGTGTGTATTTTTCAGTGTTTTTGTGATTGATTTCTAGTTCATAGCATTGTGGTTAGAGATGCTTGATATGATTTAAATCTTCCTAAATTCATTGAGACTTGTTTTGTGTCCTAACATGTGGTCTATTCTAGAAAACATTCCATATGCACTTGAAAAGTATGTATATTCTGCTGCTTTGTGGTGAACTGCTCTGAAGATATCAATTAAATCCATTTGATCTAGTGTGTCATTTAAGGCTGCTGTCTCCCTGTTGGCTTTCTGCCTGGAAGATCTATTCATTGAAGTCAATGGGTATTAACTATGACTATATTTCTGTTGATCTCTCCTTTCCATCAAGATTTGCTTCACATATTTAGGTGCTCCTATGCTGGGTGTGTACAAGTTTACTAGGGTCATACCCTCTGTTGGATTGTTCCCTTTATCATTATGTAGTGTCCTCTGTGTCTCTTACTATAAGCCTTGGTTTTAAAGTCTATTTTGTTGGATAAATTGCTACCCCAGCTTTTTTTCTTTTTTATTTACATAAAATATCTTTTCCTTCCCTTTACTTTTAGTCTGTGTATATCTTTTGGTCTGAGGTTGGTGTCCTGAGGGCAGCATATATATGGTTCTTGTTTTCTTATCCCCTGAGCTACCTTATGACTTTTGCATGTCATCCTTGCGCAGGGGCCATGCTAATCTTCTCTGTATCATTCCAATTTTAGTATATGTGCTGCTGAAGCAAGCACTACCCTATGACTTTTAGCTGGGCCATTTAAGCCATTTACATTTAAGGTGATCATTGATACATATGTATGTAGTGCCATTTTATTGTTAGACTGTTTTCCTCTTTTTTTCCTTCTTCTTAAAGCAAGCCGTTTAACATTTGTTGCAGTACTGGTTTGATGATAACAAATTCCTTTAGTGTTTTCTTGTCTGGGACTCTCCTTATTTCTCCTTCGATTTTAAATGATAGATTTGCTGGGTAAAGTAGCCTTGGTTGTATGTCCTTGCCTCATTATCTTGAATATTTGGCACCCCTCCCTTCTGGCCTGAAATATTTCTAATGAGTAATCAGATGACAGTCTAATTGGTGCTCCCTTGTAGGTAACTACCTGCTTTTCTCTTGCAGCTTTTAGGATTCTCTCCTTATCTCTAAGCCTTGTCATTGCAATTATGTGTGTCAGTGTCTGCCTCTTTGGGTCCAACTTGTTTGGGACTCTCTGAACTTCCTGGACTTGTGTGTCTTTTTCCTTCAGCAGATGAAGGAAGTTTTCAGTCTCTATTTCTTCAAATCGGTTCTCGATTCCTTGCTTACCCTCTTTTCCTTCTAGTATTCTCATGATGTGGATGTTGTTATGCATTATGTTGTCCCAAAGGTTTTTTAAGCTCTCCTTATTTTTTAAAATTCTTTTTTCCTCTTGCTGCTCTGATGGTGTTTTTATCTACCTTGTCTTCCAAATCACTGATGCGATCCTCTGATTCATCTAATCTACCATTTATTCCCTCCAGTCTATTATTTATTTCAGATATTTCATTCTTTATTTCTGACTGGTTCTTTTTTTTTATGGCTTCTATGCAGTTTTTCATGCTTTTGAGTATCTTTGTATTATCACTCTTAACTCTAAATCTGATAAATTGCTTGCCTCCATTTCATCTAGTTCTTCTACTTGCAAATTCTCTGGTTCTTCCATTTGGGGTCTCTTCGCTTGTCTTCCCATTTTGGCTGCTTTGTATTTTCTGCCTCAGTTGTTAAACTAATCAATCATTGAACAGATCTTTTATTAGACTAATCAAGCTGTAAGCAGCAGCCCAGTTTAAGCATCACAAGGTGGGGCTGAGTAATTCCTGCCAGTAGGGCTGTTGCTTCCCCTCAGGCTGATCCCACTTGGAGGGCAGTGCTCTGCTTGAGGGAGACGGCCTCTGCCACATGGGAAATGACTCAACACAGGGATCCTGGTGGCCGTTCCTTCATTTCTCTCCCCAGAGCCACCAACCCCAGACTCTCCCTCAGCATCCTGGTCCACTCTGCCCTCCCTCTTCTGGAGCCCAGAGTACGTGGCTACAAATGAAATTTTGTGTCTTGGCCCTTTTAAGAGGCTCTCGGAGTCCCCAGCCATCTCTCCCTGGCCGACAGACCCCTTGCTGCTTTTCACAGCTGGATGTTATTCGAGTTCCTTTCTGACTCTGGTGCTATAGGTTGGGAGTCCAGCTTGGGTTTTAAACCCCACATTTCTTAGGGGGACCCCCAGCCGCTGAGATATTCCTCCAGTACTTCAGCTGCTGCTGGTGGGACCCTAGTCAGCTCTCTCATGCCTCCTCCACACTCCCTACCAGTCACAGTGGTGAAGAGGTTTCTTCTGTCTGTCCATGGTTATAAGGCTTCTCTCCAGCCAGTGTTCAGTTGGTTATTCAGGCTGATTCTTCTACAATTTAGCTGTAATTCCAGATTGGTCCTGGGAGGAAGATAGTGTAGCTTTCACTTACTCCTCTGCCATCTTGGGTCCCCCATTTTTCTCCAACCACATTTGTTAGTTTTGTTCCTGCTACTTATCAATTTATCCATTTAATTACATTCTCATCAGGTCACTAGCTAGTTTGTTACCCATCTCCTCCCCAGGTCACAGGTTCCATGAAGGGAGAAACAATATCTCTTTAGCTCACAGTTCTATCTCCAGTGCTTGTACACAGTATCTATTTGCTCATGTTTATTGTGTGGTTCAAATAAAGGAAAAAAACAGTTACAAAATTGAGGAGGCATGTGAGACCGAGTAGGACATAGTCCTTGCATGGATGACATGGAGATATAATTTGGATTATACAGTTAGTTGGGAAAACATAAAATATTGTTTTTGTGGCCAAATTCCTTTCTTCTATGTTCTCTTTATCCCTTCTCTTTCTGCCCCGCCCAGTCTCTCTCTATGACTTGCAAAGTATTAACATGGAAATAAAGATGGTGATAAATGTGGGAGAGATCAACTCAATATTTGGAAACTTTTAAATGAAAGATAGGTCATCTAAATCATTGTGAGACTAACTCATTTTTCATGATGAAATCCCACATACTTTAATGGGATCACAGACACTAGGGGGCAGTCCTAGACACCCTTGTGGTGTCCTCCAGAGGCAGAATAAACACACCAGTGTAGCCTGGGGTTTAAACAGACTCATGCCGACAAATCAGATGCACTAGCCTTCGCCCCCTCCCACAGTGGAAAGACCTCCGTGACTTCCCCACCTATTTGTAGGAGGCCTCTGGTGTCTCACCTAAGTCCTTCAACCACTCCCAAAAACTCAGTAAAGGAGTGTCTGCCTGCCTCAGAAGGTTATAGCTACTGTCTCTCCAGGTCCCCACAGCCACAGCTGCTGCCCTGTCTGGGTCCACAGAGGTGCTAGCAGCACTGTGTCCACTGAAGCCTCTGCCTTCATGTACAGGTGCAATGGCCCGAATGTTTGTGTCTCCCCAAAATTTATATGTTAAAATCCTGACCCCCATGCGATGGTGTCAGAAAGTGGGACTTTGGGGAGATAATTAGGTTATGAGGGTAGAGCCCTCAGGAATGGGATTAATATCCTTGGAAAAAAGACCCCAGAGAGCTCTCTCGGCCCATCTCCACGTGGCCATGACAGGACACGACAAGAAAGCGGCATTCTTCAACCCAGAGGATGGTCCCCACCAGAATCCAGCCGTGCTGGCACCCTGCCCAATCTTGGGTGTTTGTTTAGCCCCCAGAAAAGTGAGAAATGAGTTTCTGTTGTTTCATAAGCCGTGCAGTCTTATGCTTTGGCAGGTCGAATGGACTGAGACACCTCTCCTGTGCATGCGTAGGGCGGGTGCCTTGATCCCTTTTTCCGTGAGTGTCTTTCACAAAGACCAAAGTGGTGCTGCCCTAAACCCTAACACCTCACTAACATTTAATAATAATAAAAAAGACCCTCAAAAGTATTCCCTCAGCCTCCTCTGGCACTGGCCTCAAACATGAGCTTTTGGGGAACTGGCCTCCCCAGTTGCCAGATGGCGAATCCAAATTTATAACAAACTGTGTGGTTCCCACCCCCACCCACCCCCACCTGCCCAGGAGTTTGCTTTAGTCACTTTAGCCAGTAGTTACCCAACAAGCCCATACCACCCACCCATCAAACACGTGGAATTTTCAGGATTCTGGTGTGAACCGGCCCTAACTGAAGTCCGTAATCATTCAGGATTCTGTGTACAAGCTCAGGTGCCCCTGTGGCTTTGCCTCTCAGGGAGATTAATCCCCAAATGTCAAGGCTTTGGCAGAACATAGTTTGCCTCAGTTACCTTTCCTTTAGAGGAAAAGTTGTCTTATTTATTTTTATTTTTGTTTAAAGCAGAGCTGTATTTAAAAGGTCCATTCTAAAAGGAGATTAAGTCAGAGCCTGGTTTTGACTAGTGGGAATTTTCCGTCAGCTGCCCAGCTCTTGGCCGAGCCTGACGGCCGGCCCCCCACAGGACTGCGGGCAGCAGTGCTCTTAACTCCGCAGTTGCTGATAGAGCCCTGAAGGAAAGTCCCAACAGAGAACCGCAACTAAACTCATCAAAAAGGAAAAGATGATTTTACTATGATGAGATTCACCCTCCAGGGACCGGAATAGAAAATCCGTAGACATAAGCTTATGTTTAGAGACCCTTGATAGATTTCAAAGCTGTTTCCTTTCAGGAGGGTTCTCTTGCCAGGTTCTACTGATCAGTTGTCTCTAATACGGCAGAGAAACTCAGGACTGTTGGTCGAAAGAAAAACCCAGCGTCACCCGGATACCACTAAACACAAGAAGAGGCTGAAAAACTACCTTCTATTTCTGGTGCATTTTTAAAGCTGATGGAACCTTCCGGAGCACGTTGTGTTACATTGGCTTATATTGTTAATAGTTTAATGTACATATTGAAAACGTGGTTGTATTAATGAAATAATCATGTCGGTACTCATCCCCTTTGATTTGAAGGCAGGATCACATTTTATCACATAAAGAAACATTTACACATAGTTAGAAATAACAATTTGTAGAGTTACGAATGTATTTGGTCTCTGTTTTAAAAAGTATGCACTAGTGGTTAAATGTTACAACATCTCTATTTTTAAGTACTTTGTACATGGCTACAGCCCAAAGATCATTTTTTTCCTATGGTGCTCTTTACTTATTTATTTTTGGAACATTTGGGCCAAATCTGTTCTATCTTTGACCTTCAGGTTCTTTCCTTTTCTTTCTAGAAAACAACTATGTATACCTTTCCCAGTATTAAACATACACACGTACTCACATGCATGATAAACAATCCCCAGACTTACTTTTCTGACAAATAAATCAGCGCTGGTAGATCTTTAAAACGTCAAGCTTCTCATTCAGCATGAGGCCCGTCACTGCCCATGTGTTTCTCAGACAGCACCCCAGCTCTTACTGATTGGCACACTTCCCCTGCATCAGAGTAGTGAAATTATGCAAGATACCTATTCCAACCTATCCTGTCTCTGCAGTTATTATAGCTCCCTCTGCCCCCAGCTTCTTGGGAGAATCACTACTCTCCTAGGCTTATGGCCTCCAAGGGACGTTGAAGAGCTTCAAGTTAGTTTGCTTTCCCTCCACTTTTTGAAGACTAAGGTTCATTAGTCTCCCACCCTCTATCCACGGGAAATACATGCTAAGACCCCCAGTGGATGCCTGAAGCTGCAGATAGCAACAAATTCTCTATCGATACTATGTGTTTTCTTATACACACATACCTTTTCAC